GCCAACCCAGGCAGCGAAGCACAGCTGGTAACGGAGAGGGCAGAGGACAAGCCAAGCTCAACAGCACCTGGATTCCACAGATTGCTGCAATCTTTATCAGTCTGCCTTGGAAGGGAGAGCCTGCTCATGTGCTGCACCAATCCGCCTTCCATACCCTGCATCATCCCTGCAGGACAAGGTGACATCTCCACCAGGGCCACTCCTTAGCCATGCTTGGAAGTGGGACCTTCTCCCTCTGTTGTGACCCAGGTCCCCCTGTCTCCCACCTGGCTGCAGCTCCCACTGACATCTCCGCCAGGGCCCCTCCTTAGCCATGCTTGGAAGTGGGCCCCTCTCCCTCTGTTGTGACCCAGGTCCCCCTGTCTCCCACCTGGCTGCAGCTCCCACACCTGGCTCCTGTAATTCCTGTCCTCCAGGATCCAGAAGGGCAGACACCCATGGTCTCAAAGGCCACGCAGTTCAGACAGGGCCCTCCAGGGAGGGCTCCTGCCCCCACGTGTAGGGCAGGGCATGAACCCAGGGAAGGTTTGCAAGCCAAAGCCTTCCATCCTGGCTGGCATTCGCTCCCTTCGCAGCCCCAGGCTGGAGCAGAGCAGCCATGGGTTGGGCACGCCTGCTTAACCTGCCTCTGCCCAAGCCGCTCACAGAAAGGCCACACACTCCAAAGTGCTAACGCCGGCTTCTCGACGATTGCTTGAGTGGGCACAGGCAGTAGGGGCAGCTGCCTCACCTGCCCTCCCCTTGCCAGCACTAGCACAAGGCAAGGCAGGCCAGGGAAACAAGCCACCGCCCCAACTGGTTCGGCACAGCAACAGAAACGCTTGTGCTGGCACAAACCAGAAGGACAGACAAAGCTCCCCCTTGGCTCCTCCTTTAGTCCATTCAGCAGCCAGGAGCTTCCGTGGATTTACAGTAGGTGCCTTGGAATGGGCAGATCTCTGGCAGGGGCTGGCAAGAGCCTCCTTTCCCTCGGGTCACTCCCTCCTGCCTCTGTCTTACCCCCAGGAGCTTAAGCAG